AGTAATTAATTTCGAACTCCTCAATCCACAGCGAACTATCAATGCAGAGATCTATAGTCAGCAAATGGAACGTTTAAATCAAGCCTTTCATCGGAAACGCCCTTCACTCGTCAGTTAGAAAGGTGTTTTTCCTCTCCACGACAATGCACGTCCACATGTGGCACGTTTGACGCAACACAAGATTATGGAGTTGGGTTGGGAAGTTCTCCCCCACCCACCATATTCTCCAGATATGGCACCATCAGATTACCATCTTTTTGTTCGTTGCAACACCATCTTTATGGGAAAATGTATGCAAATGTAGAAGGTGTTAAAGAAGACATTGACATTTCTTTTTTTGCTTCAAAGCCAAGTTATTTCTATAATCAGAGCATTAACAACCTGATTGTAAGATGGAAAAGCATCATCGATAAGAATGAAGACTATTCCATTTAATAAATGTTTTGTTTTGATAAATAAGTTGTTATGGTTTTTTCATCTAAAAAAGCGACATTAATTTCTTGACGACCTAATAAAAATATACATTCACTCAATGTATGATAATGATAATGACAAAAAAACTGTGACTGATTTAAATAAAATATGTAATAAGCGTGTTTTTTCGATATGTAATATGAACTCACGCTTCTGCTTTTTTGTTGAATAAAATATGAAATTAAAGATTTAATACATCCTGAAGATTAAAAGCAACTACAATAAAAAGTTCATGACCTTTATCCAGGAAGTGAGCAGTTTCTTGTTGTTTATTTTATATAAACTGCAAATATTTGTGAAGTTTCCTCAGAAAAAAATTATTTATTTGTTTTCATAGTGATTTCTAAGGCTGTAAATGGGATATTGGTTTGAATGTTTTGCATCTGTAATCCATTCATTCCTATTTCGATGTTGCTTTAATTTGAAAGTGAGAAAAAGGAACAACTCTAATGGAAACTCGAAAATGTTCATATTATTATATATAATGGATATCACTAAATTTTATCACACAAATAACAGAAAATAAAAATACCAATTTTACTCTTCCTTCCAGATTACGAGGATTCCCAAATGACGTCACAACCATATCGATTGTTTCAGGACTCGTTAATAGTGCGATTGCTCTTGGGTAATTTTTTTAATAATAATAACAACAGCTAAGACCTTTTAATTCAAAGTAGAAGTATTTTTAATGTTTTTACTTTTGAAGTTGATTATAATGTGTGATTTCCTTTATGTAGCGGTTTTGTTGGACCATCTCTAGGGGGCGCACTTCTCGAACAAATGGGTTTCGAAAATGGAACTATGGTTTTGCTGGGATTTGAGTTGGCAGTAGTAAGATTACCCTTTTCTCTCAACAAGAAATCAGTTTTACTAAAAGCCGATTTAACTTAAAGATTTACGTTTTGTTTTCTTAAATATTTTTTTAAATCAGCATTAATTTAATTTCTATTAAATCTTTAGAAGTAATACAGTTAAATAAGTATGTTCTAAACACGTCAAAAAGGAGTATATTAGTAAAAATAATGATAAAAAGGATAAACGCGTATAATTGTATTGTCATTGGTGAGATTCTGGATAGCTCAGAGTGTAAGATAATTCGTTAATAACTATATAAATCTTTTTATAGATCATGTACTAAATAGTATATAGGTTTACAATTGTTTCATTTGTCATTGTTCAGTTGGTGATAACTATCCTACATTCTGCATGGGGTGCAACTGCCAGAATTTGTGGAAAATCGGAAAAACTGGAAACTTTCACGTCAGATGATTATGCACTGGTATGACGTATTTATATGTTTGTTTTTGGATATTCTTGCAAAGTTACTAAAAAGGTATCAATGCTAGCTATCCCTAACTCTGAACTGATAGACTACAAGGAAGGCAGCTAGCTGATCAACAGCACCCACCGCTATTTCTTCGGTTACTCTTGTGTTACCGAATAGTGGTATTTGATCGACCTCGTATAAAACCGGTGGGACAGCGGTAAGTCTTCGAATTTATAATGCTAACATCAGGGGTTGGATTCCCTTAGGTGGACACAGCAAATAGCCCGATGTGGCTTTGCTACAAGAAAACACCCAAACACACGATCCCAGTTGTGTAGTGTGAACATTAAACAGCCATGATTGGCTCCATATCACGTAATACAGAGTGTCCGAAATATCTAGAACCATAGGTGATTTGCAGCTTTCCTTAATTTTAGATACGTGAATGATTATGGCGCTGTCAAACCATGAGAAGGTCGAATTATTCCTGCTGTTAACCCAAACTTGTTTCGAATTGCAAAGATAGCATGTGCACCACATTTTGTAAAATTCTTTGAAGTGCCTATGGTTCCAGACACCATGTACACTTCCTGTTAGCAAGTACAAAACCAATCACTTAAATACAACAGTTGTGTTTTTCATCTTAACATTTCTGAAGTTTAATTGATTACACAAATTTTTGTATTTATTTATTTTTGTCAGAGAAATGAACCAATATGAAAAATGAAATGCACGATTTCCATCTTCAAATTTATGTCTGTTTATGGGTGTCACTTTCAAGTTGATATCTGGTTATGGATATCGATCTTAGATTTTACACGTGAAATGTGATTTGAGACATCTAAAATTATAAACATATAAATATAAAAATGGAATAAAAAATTTTCAAAGATATGACATTACAACTAAAACCTTGGAAGAAAACCTGATTTGTGGTTTTAAAGGACTGTAAATTTTCTGAATTTTTTAATACAACCTTTTTTTTATATTTCATGCATCGTAATCCCGTAATTCCACACCTGAATGTTCTATTTAGTTTTTATTTAAATTGCAGTTTCATTTAACGTACTTTAAATAAACACTCATGGGTTGGACTCAATACTTAAGGTACATATTAGTGTTAAGTACTTTTTCAAACAATTGAAATAACTGTTATCCTTTTACTCATGACTACGTCATTTAAAACTTGATATTGATACATATATCGAGTTTTCTTTTCTATAGAAAGACCATCGTAAACATAATTAGTAAATTGAATTATTAATATCGATCCTTTCGCTGCATGAACATTTCTTTTCCATAACGCCCTTAGAATTTCCTTCAGCTATAAAAAAAAAAGTTCTAAAAATGGTGTCCGTAGCGCCAAGGCTCGCACCTTCAGCAACAAGCCATAACAATATTGTTCAAATAAAGTGTCGGGTATGGCCTATTTGTTTTCGTGACAGGATTGTGAATCGAGTCGTGTAGGGCTGAATACGATCTGCACGTTATAAAAATGACGATAAATCCCATTATTCGGTTTAAAGAGCCAGACAGAGCCATTGTGGAGGGGGGCGGATGATTTTGGCTGGCTGCCTTGTTTCTGTTCAATAGTTCAAAATTAGGAACCACTCTACCTGAATCTTTGAGATCAATGACTTGACCTTATAGCCTACGTGCGCGTAGGTGAGTTCGTATTAAAAAAATCCCAGTATCTACTGAATATATATGGCCTGACATAATTATGACAGCTAACAAATAGCATATATTCAAATATTTTATACTATGTTTGACTACCCTAAAATTGATTCAATTTGAATGGTCTGATGTATATTTGCAAAAAGTGAGAAAAAAAATTAAAATACAACGATTCTGTTTTCACAATTATAGTAAGTTTGTACTTGGTGGGGAAAATCCCAATATATGATTGAAACGTATGGTTGTTTCTACCCTGGAAACGGTACTTTTTAAGTAGATACTCTAGTTAAGTTCCCATTTTTTAATTTTATTAAAATTGATCATATCGCAAAAAAAATTAACATAAAGCCTTCTGGAGAGCTCGATTATATGTATATTATATACTACTCATAGTTTAGTAAAAAGTTTTACTATCTCTATGGTACCACTGTTTATCAATACTTTATTTTTTAATCTTCATTCTAACAATGAATTAATTTATGCTTGCAGACTGTGATTGGTAATTCTTGTTCGTGCTGTTCTTGGAATCGGAGTGGGAGGAAAAGTTATCATAGGATTCCACTACGCCTTGAAAATAACACTGAATAAGATGCATGTATTCGGCCGTTGGATGAAAATAACAATATCAATGTACGAGTAAAAAGTATCTAAATTAAGTATGTAACGCTCTATTTTATATCGTATTTTTTTACACTTTTCTTCTGTATATACTCAGGCTACTGCATTATCCGTTAAAAAACATTAAATTAAATAATTAACACGTCCTGTGGAGTAACGTCTTATTTGTGGTTATTACCAATGCCAGTGTTTCTATTGCCATTATGGTGTTTTCCTTTTATATAAACTAAATATATTTAGTTTATAGGGAAGTTCCTTAGGCATAAATTAAGATGTTCATTTTCGTAGTCATTTGTAACGTAGTACATTCGTTACAGGCCTAAACAATTAGCACCTATAGTCCTTTTGTATTGATCAGACACTGCTACGGAAATTAATGCCATATAACAGATTTAGGAAGTTCGAAATTATAGTTTCTAATTTCTTTGTATCTATACTAATAAAACGGCCTGTGGGTGTGTTTCTGTGTCGGTCAGTCTGCGCTATAGCTCCAAGAGGAAATAAACCAGAGACCTGAATCTTTGCATGCATACTAAGGGAATTCTGAGGGTGACACTTGGGTATTATTTTTTTCTCAAAAACATTTTAGCCTGTAATTTTGCCCTATAGCCATAAAAAAGAAAGTAGAATATGCTGCCATCTGTCGCTTGATACAACAAATTTTTAAAGAATCATTTTTTATCTAAATAAGTTTGTAATACAGGTTTAAAAAATGCATAAAAATGTTAGAATTCATATTATTGGCAGAAACGATTACAACTAAATGTTCGTTCGTACTTTTCATATTCACAGAATGCTTAAAAGCAGTATATCTGTCTTTTCATTTATTAGTACGTTTATGCGTTTAACATATATTTTTATATTAAAAGCAAAATTTTAAACCTTTCCGTTTAAAACTAGCTAAACATCGGCCCTCTGTTTAGGTAATACCCGGGCAACGCCGGGTAAGGACGGCTGGTACAAAATTTGGGGCCCGGGCATGGCCAGGTGGTTAAGGCACTCGACTCGCAATCTGAGGGTCGCGGTTAGAATCCCGTCACACCAAACATGCTCGCCCTTCAGC